TAGCTATTTTGAAAAGAGCAGCAACAAACATGGTTGTACAAGTGTCTCTACAATAGGATGAGTCCTTTGGGTATATGCCAAGGAGTGGTATAACTGGATCATATGGTAGGTTCATTTTTAGTTTTTTAAGAGTTCTCCACACTGTTTTCCATAGAGGTTGCACAAGTTTGCAATCCCACCAGCAGTGAATGAGTGTTCCCTTTTCTCCACATTCTTTCCAGCATCTGGTATCATTTGTTCTCTTGATCCCTAGCCAGTCTAATTGGGGTAAGGTGATACCTTAAGGTGGTTTTAATTTGCATTTTCCTAATTGCTAATGATGTCGAACACTTTTTGAGATGTTTCTTAGCCATCTTTATTTCTTCCTTTGAGAACTCTCTGTTTAGATTTTTAGCCTATCTTTTCATTGGGTCATTTGGTTTCTCGATTCTTTTGGGGGGTTTTTTTTTTTTTGGTCTTTTTGAGACAGGGTCTCTCTGTAGCCCCAGCTGTCCTGGAACTCACTATGTAGTCCGGGCTGGCCTTGAACTCACAGAGATGCATCTGCCTCTGCCTCCCAAATGTTGGGATTAAAGGCATGCACCACCACGCCTAGCGATTCTTTGTTTTTTGAGTTCTTTATATATTCTCAATGTCTGACCTCTGTCACATGTCACTGGTGAAGATTTTTTTCCCATTCTGTGGATTTTCTCTTCACTTTTTCGATTGTTTCTTTTGCTGTACAGAAGCTTTTTAGTTTAATGAGGTCCCACTTGTTGATTGCTGACCTTAATTCCTGAGTAGCTTCTTTTCAATTTAGAAAATCCTTTCCTACACCTATATCTTGTAAGTTACTGCCAACATTTTCTTCTAATAGTTTCAGGGTTTCCAGTTTTACATTGAGGTCTTTGATCTATTTGGAGTTGACTTTTGAGGATCTAGTTTCATTCTTCTATAGGCGAAGATCCAGTTTTGCCAGCATTATTTGTTGAAGATGCTGTCTTTCCTCCATTGTGTGTTCCTGGCACCTTTGTCAAATATCAGGTGGCTGAAACTGCATGTACTCGGGTTTGGATCTTCAGTGATGTCCCATTGATCTATGTATGTATTTTTGTACCAGTATCATGCTGTTTTTATGACTGTAGGTCCGTAGTATACTTTGAGATCTGGCATAGTAATCCCCCCAGTGTTGCTCTTTGTACTCAGGGTTGCTTTGGCTATCCAGGATTTTTTGTGCTTCTATATGAATTTAAGGATGGTTTTTTCTAATACTATGAAGTGTGTCATGGGGATTTTGATTGGGATTGCATTGAATCTATATATTGCTTTTGGTAGGATGGTCATTTTGACAATATTAATTCTTCTAATCCATGAGCATGAGAGGTCTTTCCATCTCCTGGTGTCTTCCTCAATCTTTCTTTAATGACTTAAAATTTTCATTGTAGAAATCTTTGGTGTCTTTGGTCAGATTTATTCCAGATTTTTTTTTTTTTTTTTTTGCAGCAGTTGTGAATGGGAACATTCCCTTATATTCATTCTCCAATTGCTTGTTATTGGTATATAGAAAGGCTACTGATTTTTGTAGATTGATTTTATAACCTGCCACTATACTGAAAGTGTTGATCAGTTCTAAGAGTTTTCTGGTGGAACTTTTGCTATCTCTTAGGTATAGTATCATATCATATGCAAAAAGTGATAGTTTGACCTCTTCTTTTCCAACTAGTACTCATTTAATTTCCTTCTCCTGTCTTATTGCTCTAGCAAGAATTTCAAGCACTATGTTGAAAAGGAGTGGGGATAGTTGACATCCTTGTCTGGTTCCTGATTTTAATGAGAATGCTTCCAGTTTTTCACCATTTAGAATGATATTGGCTGTGGGTTTGTT